CATAATAGCCGATAAGGTTACATTATCTTAAATAATATTAAAAGTATTCAAAAAAACTTAATATAAATAAAAATTAACAAAATAAACTTAAACAATTTTAAAGAAATTTAACCTTCTAAGTAATCATGGGCATCTAGCGAAGTACTGTGAACTTGTTCATCAGAATGATAACCTGACCGAGCAGTGGGAGCTTGTGGTACAGGTATGCCAGAAATAAGTAAATTATAGTAATTAAGGTTAGAAATTCTGCTTAATCTGGATTCTTTGGTCTTTCTTTGCGAAGCCATTTTGAATATGATAAGATAATGATAAAATAAGATAATAATATAATAAGATAATAATAAAAAATAAAAAATAAATTATAAAAAAGTAACAAAAATAAAGAAAATAATATAGAATGTGTAAAAAAAATTAAGTGATATTAAAAAAGATATAATATATTCGAAACTATGCGAAAGATGGAAAATAAATGATATGCGAAAATATAATGATGGAAAATATGAAAATAATTATTGGAAAAAATGAAAAAGATTTGGATTTGTGAGGGAAAGTAAGAGAATTTTAAAGTTGATGAGATGAAATGTGAATTGTATAAAAAAATTACAAAAATTAGAGAGGAGAAATCGAGTTATTTAAATATTTTCAGAAAAATTCTAAAGTAATCGAATATGCCAACAATTTTATTATTCAACTGTATTAAAGAATACTGCTGTATCTAAAGTAATAATATTTTATTCGAATATTAAGATTTATTGAGTTATTAATATATTAAATATATTAGATAGATTTCACTCTATTAATATTTAATTGCCGTTGTATCTTTTTAATATATTTAACACCTCCTGGACAAATTTGAAAACTTTTAAAACAATGCGAAATTAATCGATTATCTTAAATATACAAACTCCTATCAACTACGTATTATTATTTTACTCTTTTATTACTATATTTAGGATAAGCAAAATAAATTAATCCACTTAAAAAGAACAATGGCCATTTATAGAAACTTTTACTATCATGCATATAGTGCATTCTTCTATTGTTTCGCAGAAACATTCTAGATTTTTATGTAATCAGGGTTTACAAACAAATATTAGTTAGTACTAAAGTAATTATTATGTAAGAGGTCAAATTGAATCAAATAAAAGTAAAATTTTTACCTTTTTAGCAATTAAATTGTTGAATTAATAAAATGGACTTTTATAGAACTTGCAATATTTCGAATAAATTAAAATATTTTAAAAAATAAAGTATGAAAATAGTAGATGAAGAGACCTTATAATATTTAAAAAGTTGCGAATAAATTTAAAATTTTCGAATGTTTTCTATTTAATTGAAACATTTGCAAATATTAATACATAAATAGTATTAATGAATAAACAAAGATCAAAATGATTCGATAAATTCAAAATTTTAAAATTCTAATATTATTGAAATAAATTTACTTTGCAGTAATATTAAGCTTCTAATAAATGTCATTTATTTTGAAATTTAGCGAAAATTTTAAATTATTAAATTAAGCACGAATAATTTTCTAAAATTGTAGATATTTACTTTATTAAAGTATTATTTGTGTGAATAAATCTTTATGAAAATATTCAATTCTATCAGCAAATTAATTTTATTATTTATTTAGCTTATCTTTTATGTAGCTTACTTGATTAGAATATATTAGTTTTAGCAATTTTCAGTAATAATCGATATATTGCGAAATATCTATAATAATTCGTAAAAAATATGAAGTTAACAAAGTATTAATAGAAATAAACGCAAATTAAATAATATTTAGAAATTATTTAAAGTATTTAGATAAATAACTATATACTTTTATTTATAATATTAAGCGAATGTCTATTCGAAATAAAATCTAATAATTTAATATTATAATTTTCTTGTCTTTAAAATTTACTATATTTATTTAAAATCTATTTTAATATTTTTGAAATAATTCGAATATCTTTAAATTAACTATTTTATTTTCATCTTTATTAATATCAATGCTAATAAAATGACTCAATCTTTTCCAATTAATTTTATTTTATTTGAATATTTTTAAAATATTTTAAATTATTGTGCAATATTTTCATGCTTATTATTAGTAATAAATTTCGAAATATTTCGAAATTTCTAAAATAATATTAAGTAATTTGTATATTTCCAATATTTCAAAATTATTTCTTTATATTTGGTTTTCTTGTGATACGTAAATTATTTATGTAATATTTGAATTTTCTTACTTAAATTACATTATTTCAAAATATTTCGCCCTTTATATTTGCTGATGGCCTATTTTTAATTATTTTTAACTAAATCAATTATTTTTAATATAATTTGAACTATTTTGAATTATTTTGCTCTCATAATTCATAGATTTTTATCTCAATCTGTTTCAAATTTTTTCGAATTATTTTACGTATTATTGCGTAATTTCTTGCATAATATTGCGTAATAATCCTATGTAATATTTTGTAATTGTATATTTCGCAATATTGCGAAAGTTATTATGTAATATTATGGTGTTCTTACGCTTCATAAATTATTGCGCAATATTACACCCAATTAAATTTGCTGATGTAGAGTGAGGCATGGATTAATTTTTGAGACATGCCTATAGACATGATTAAAAATTTTTTCATGCCTCACCTAGCTGTATATAAAAAAGTTCTTAATTAAAAACATATGAACTTCATAACGAAAATTGTTTATATACGATTTAACTAGACGCGTTGTCATCTGTTAAATTGTCATCTGTTAAGTCTCCAACTTCTAATACTGGTGAAGATTCAATTTCAGAATTTTCACAAGTTATTTCGTTATACATCAAATTACTTAATTTCTCACATAATTCAACTGCACTCGGACGTTTAGCTTTATCATTATCCATACAAGTTTTTGCAAGGCCAACATAATTTTTTGGAATTCCTTCTGCAAATTCGGTCGAAGACTACCATCACATATTTTGTGAATAATAGAATTATCGTTATTGTCATGATAAGGTGGTTTTCCATTTAAAACCTCAGCCATGATGACACCAAAACTATATATGTCAGCTTCTTCAGTATATTCTTTCTTGCGTAATACTTCTGGGGCTAGATAACGCCAGATACCAGGAATCTCTTTATTGTATGGTAAGTTAGTTGGTTTTGTAAGCCCTAAATCCGAAATATACGCAGTATTTAATTCAGGTTGCAATATATTGCAACTATGTAAGTCTCGGTGAACAAGTTTTTGTGAATGAATTATCCATAGATCAGAGGCAATGCAATGTAATAGGGATAATTTTTCGTTCCATTTCATATGCGCTATCAAGTGAAGATTGCTATGTAAAGTGCCGCAACTCATATAATCCATGACAATAATATAGTTTCCGGAATAATGTTTTGATATGCCATAACATCTTAAGAATGTAGGGTTTTTATTTCCAATATAATAACAAGTTCTTAACTTAAAAAGTGGAATCAGTTAATCAATATGTATATAATAAACTTGCCATATTAGCAAAAAGCATCATACATACGTACGTACCTCGTTTGTAAATTCTTCAAGACAATCTTTTGAATCACGAAGTAATTTAAGTGCAAAGGTTTTTTGCATATATCGAGTTTTAGTCTTGGCATAAAATACTTCACCATATTTACCATTTCCTATTGATTTAACCTCTTTAAACTTATCATAACGAAAACACCCTAATTTATATTCTACCAATATTTTTTTAAGATCGTCATCTATATCAAAACATTCATTTGCTGATTCGTTCACACCTAAGCCATTGTAAGAAATATTAATCGTTAAACATCTAATTCTTTAAATCATTAAATCACGAATTAAACGTTACTTGACAATATTCTTCCGTACCTATAAACGTTTTAATATAATTAAATATATATATTACAGCAGAAAATAAATGATTTACTTACTGTGTATAGTAGTTTTTAGACATTTCTAAATCTCTTTTCACTCCGATTTCATTTCGGTAGCAGTAACCAACGAGAGCAAATGCTTTAGGATATATCATTTTAGCGGCTTCACAATATTGAATAAATGCCTTATGTTGGTCTTTTTCAACACCAACTCCATTTTTATAATGATGTCCAAGATAGTATACTCCATTTTTGTCTTCCATCTCTGCAGCTTTTTTATTAAGAGTGAATGCTTTATAATAATCCTTTTTAACACCAATTCCAGCACAATAACAATTGGCAAGATTACTTATTGCCATAACAGCACCTTTTTCATAATAACTAAATGCTTTGTCTTCATCTTTTTTAGTTCCAATTCCATCAGCATAAAAATCACCAAGGCTATTAATTCCAAGAGCGTCACCCATCTCCGCAGATTTGTTATAATAAATAAATGCCTTGTGTTCATTTTCTTCTGCTCCACCCATCCCATATAGATGATAAAATCCAACATTATTAATTGCTCTTGCATAACCCATTTTTGCAGATTTTTGATAGGAAATGAATGCTTTACAAAAATCCTTTGGAGTCCCTCTCCCAGCTGCATAACTCGCACCAAGATCATTCATCACAATAGGATCACCTAAATCAGCAGATAGTTGATAATAAACAAAGGTTTTATTTTTATCCTTTTCAACGCCAATTCCGAGTTGATAATGGACACCAGTATTATATGCACCTTTTGCATAACCCATTTCTCCAGATTTTTTATAATAATTGAATGCTTTGTGTTTGTTTTTTTCAACACCAATTCCATGATTATAACAATGACCAAGATTATAAATTCCAATATAGTCATCCATGTCAGCTGATTTTTGACAATAAGTGAATGCTTTATTTCATCTTTTTCAATTCCAATTCCATATTCATAACAATAAGCAACATTAAGGGGAGGGACAGAAATCAGGTGATTTCAAGTTACTAAGAGGCTATACCCCACCCCCACCTGATTCAAATATTAGCCAATTAAATTTAACTACAAAATATAAGACCTGATCGAATCACAAACCCCCACCCCCTAACAAATCAGCTGATTTCTGTCCCTTCCCTAACCATTCCTCTGGAATTTTCTACATTAGCAGATTTTTGGAAATAATTAAATGCCTTATGTTTATCAATTTCAACTCCAATTCCATTTTGGTAGAATTGAGCAAGACCACACATTCCAAAAGCATCACCCATCTCTGCAGATTTTTGATAATAGAAAAATGCTTTATGTTCATCCTTTCCAACTCCAATTCCATGTTGATAACAACAAGCAAGATTACAAATTCCAAAAGAATCATTTGCATCAGCAGATTCTTTATAATAAATAAATGCTTTATATTTATCCTTTGCAACCCCAATTCCGTATTCATAGCAATAACCAAGACCACTTTTTCCTTTGGCATTTCCCATGTTTGATAATAAATAAATGATTTGTGTTCATCTTTTTCAACTCCAATCCCATTTCGATAACAATAACCAAGATTATGTATTCCAAAAGAATCATCCATGTTGGCAGATTTTTGAAAACAGATGAATACCTCATGTTCGTCCTTCTCAACTCCAATACTATTCAGATAACAACAGCCAAGATTATTAATTCCAAGAGAATTATTCGCATCGGCGGATTCTTTATAATAAGTATATGCTTTATATTTATCCCTCTCAACCCCAATTCCATATTGATAGCACTGACCAAGATCATTTTTTCCATAGGCATCACCCATATTTGCGGATTTTTGATAATAAATAAATGCCTTTTCAACACCAATTCCCTTCTGATAACAATTACCAACATTATATGTTCCTTTTTCATTGCCCAATTCATCAGACATTTTATAGTATTTGAAAGCCATACACTCATCTTTTTTAATTCCAATTCCGTGTTCGTAACAATAGCCAAGGTTAAGTTACCGGTATAGTGTCCCATCATAACAGACTTTTGATAATAGTCAAATGCTTTGTATCCATCCTTTTCAACACCAATTCCGTGCTGGAAACAGTAGCCCATCATATATGTTCCATAGCATGACTCATATTTGCAGATTTTTGATAATAAAAGAGCGCCTAGATTTATTCATTTCGACTCCAACTCCATCAAAATAACAAGCACCAAGATTAAATGTTCCACCGGAGTGTCCCATCTCTGCCAATTCTTGAAAAATGTTGAATGCCTCTTGTCCGTCTTTTTTAACACCAATTCCACGGAAATAACAATTTCCAAGGCTATTTGTCCCTTCAAGATCACCTAATTCGTCAGATTTTTGAAAATAGATGAATGCCTTATGCTCATCTTTTCCAGTTCCAATTCCATTTTGGTAGCAATAACCAAGATTATTCATTCCATGAGCGCTTCCCATTTCAGTAGATTTCTGATAATAAATAAATGCCTTATGTTCATCTCTAGTAGTTCCGATTCCATGTTGATAACAATAACCAAGACTTTTATTCCTTCTAAGTGACCCATCTCGGCAGATTTTTGATAATAAATAAATGCTTCATTTTCATTCTTTTCGACTCCAATTCCTTTTTGATAACAAAAGCCAATTTTAAACATCCCACCAGAATGTTGCATCTCAATTAACTTTTTATATAGAACAAATGCTTCACGTTCATTCTTTTCAGTTCCAATTCCCTTTTCATAGCAATCTCCAAGACTATATATTCCATCGGGACAATCAATCTCGGCTGACTTTTGATAATTAATAAATGCTTTATGCACATTTTTTTCAACTAAAAATAACAAATACCAAGGTTACGCATTCCAAAAGGATTGCCTAAATCAGCTGATTTTTTATAATAAAAAAATGCTTTATGTTCATTTCTTTCGATTCCAATTCCCAAAGAATAACAATTACCAAGATTAAATTTTCCAACGGGATGTTCTTTCTCAGCTAATTTCTGAAAGATATTGAATGCCTTATACACATCTTTTTCAACTCCAGATCCACTTTGGTAGCAACATCCAAGGCTATTAGTTCCTTCAAAATCTCCCAATTCTGCAGATTTTTGAAAATAATTAAATGCTTTATATTCATCCTTTTCAAACCAATTTCCATTTTGATAACAACATCCAAGAATGCATAAAATCATTGAATTCGTTTGATTTTTCGAACACTAATTCATTATATCTTCGGATTTCTGATTTTTCTCGACCAAAAACTGTTCTATTTGGACAAGAATTAATTTAGATGGCTTCCCTTTCTTTCTTTCCTTTTTAAATATATCACATAACTCGTTAACAATCTCAGCTAAAAAATTAGATTGTTGTAATGTATGATACATTGGATTATGAATGGTATTCTTATCATCATCATATTTTCCTGATTCTTCTTCAGTAGACATTGAATAAAAAAAAAAGCAACTAAATAAAAAGAAGGTCTAACGTAACGATAAGCAAAAATAGTATTGAATTTATTCGATTTGCAGAAGAATGTTTCATCGTGTACAGCAATGTTACCATTTTTGCCCGAATTGTACATTAATAACAAACATTGTAATACCGTAAATTCTCGAAATAACGCCAAGGAGTAAATTTACGAAATTGGCCTAAATTAAGCTTAATTCGAGCCAAAAGCCCATGACCGCTATTTTGGGAATTTACGGTAAGGCAATTTGCAAGGGGCGTGATGATTTAGGGTGCTCTCAAGTAGAGGTGTGCATCTCGCGCGAAATGCTGATGTCATTCAATTGATTCTCGCACGAGATAATATAAATAATTTATTATGGCATCATCATTTCGCGCGAGATGCACATCTCTACTCTCAAGCATCTTCCTGAGTATGATTAGATAGTGATTGAGATGACGCACAACCATTACAATCAATGAATATAAAGATTGCGATCAATGATTGAGTGAACTCTTTTCATATTACAATTATCATGTCTTCAACAAACAAAAAAAAGCAACCGTTCAACAATCAAAAAAAACATTACCATTACCGACAACTTCAAATGTATTCGTTCCAACTACTTCAAGTGTCTCTGCTACTTCTTTAGCAATTCCAAATAGTTCTATTGTCCCTTCGGCTAATTACAATACTCTTGTTGTTCCTTTTACGGATTTAACAAATTATCATATGCTGTTATAACAACATTATTTTTCTACGCCACTATTTAACTCTTTAGTTTTAAATAGAACTAACAGCGAATATGAAGAAGTATATATTGAATTTTATTTAAATTTGTAATTGTTTATAAAGAATTAATAAAAATTTTTTAGGTTTTAGTACGAAGAGTAAAAAAGTAATTTGTTGTTGACGGCGAAGATCCATATTGTTAGAAGTGTATTTAGTGCAAAGTATAATGATTCGATCGTAAAAAAAAAAAAAATGATTTGACAAAAAAAAAAAATAACAATGGTTCGATCGCAAAAAAAAAAAAAATTATGGTTTGATCGCAAAAAAATAATGATTTGATCGTAAAGTGCTTGAATAATCTCGTACTTGAAGTTTGTGATTGGCGGGGTGTAGTGGAAGCTTGTGGATTATATGTATGAGTTTCAGAAGTATGCAAATAGGCACGAGAGGTATATATGGAATCAGGGCTT